AAGTGGCAGTAGCGAAATGTTTCTACAGAACTTGAGTGAGAACCAAGTGACTCAACCCCTGGGGACTGAAGTGCACAGCTTCTGAGCCCTAGCCCTCAGCCCTTTTACCCTTTCTTTTTCCTTTTTTTAAAAACCACTTTATTGAGGTACGATTGACATCCAAAAGGCTGTACATATTTAATGTGTACAACTCAATGAGTTTGGAGATAAGTATATACTTAAGAAGCCATGACCATAATCTATGCCATAAACATGTCCATCACCTCCAAGTGTTTCCTCCTGTCCTCCTTAGTAGTTGTTTTTGTGATAAGAACACTTAATATCTACCCTCTCAGCAACATTTTAAGTCTACAATACAGGGCTGTTCACTGCAGGCACTACCTTGTAGAGATCTCAAGGTTTCGTTCAACCTGTACAACTGAAACTTTGTACCCTTTAATTATTCCTTCTCCATTTCCCCTTCCTTGGATGAATCTGAAGGGCATTATGGTGAGTGAATTAAGCCAGACTCAGAAAGACAAATACTATAGGAAACCACTTATATGAGCCATCAAAAAGAGTCAAATGCATAGAAGCAGAGAGCAGAATATTGATTGCCCTTGTCTCCTTTCTTGATACTCAGCCAAGGACAGAAAGAAAAGCCAGGCTCCCAGCAGCTATGTTGGCAGGGGCTTATTGGAGACGCTTGACTTCTTCACCCTGGTTGTGTTATCCACTCTACATCCCCTCACTGATCCTCTCGAAGTTAAAGCCAGAAGATTCCACCATTTGAGCAAACACACAGACAAATAACCAAACCTGCCTAACCAGTGCAGAGATCCTCACTCTTGAACTTCCATTTCTTGCCTTCAAGGGTCTCTTGACAGCTGACCCCAGGGGACACACATTTTCAGATGAGTAGAAAATGGTGTTTTATGGTGGTAAAGGAATATCTCCCATAGTCTCTAGTCAGTATTTGCCATTATTTTTATTTTACCCCCATTATTTTTCTCTAATCCCTTTCACTATTCATAGAGTATCTCAACCCTACCTCATTGAATGTTTTTAAGCATTTTATTCTTTTTTGCAATACAAAACTTCTATTGAACATATTTCCTTTAAATATATGTATTTTAAATATCGTACCATAAGTTCATTTTAAATTAGTTGTTAATAATAATCTTTATAGTAAAAAGTAGTTTTGACAGTTTCCCATTTAATTAGTGCTATGCTTTTACATATACTTAAACTATATATGATAGTATATATAACTTACAGATAAATAATTCAAAATGATGTAGTGTTTGGTTAGGGAACTGGAAGGTATCAAAAATGTAGACCAAAGTTTAACCATGCACTGTTGTATTAAAAACTGCTTTCAAGATTTGGTGTTTGGAAGTTTAGCTAGCTCATTTATTTTTAGGACTTTTATATGTGTTTCTAAATGAAGAAATAAAAGATAAGGGCTCAAATTATGATTTACAAGCATATTTTCACAACTGCCATACTGCTGGGCTTGAAGGCTTGGTTCCTTCGATAATGAAAGGTAAAATTAGCCAGAATCATGAGTGTATTTTTTCTTTGCACATCGATTTTTTTTTTTTAAAGTACTCTGGACAACTCAATGTTGAGTGAATTTTGATTGAATGAATGTGTAGTTGTGGCGAAGATCAGTAAGAGGCAGGTTTGTGGAATAAGTTGCATCCTTCCTTAAATCACTGGCTGAATACAACTTTACATTAAACAATATCTGCTAGATCAATCCCACTGCCTCTCCAGATCCACTATCTTTATTTCACATCTCATTGTAAAAAGTCATCTTTCATGGGTTACGTCAACAGTGCCCCTCATGCTCTGGTTTCTACTAGATCTGGCCACTGGAGGTACTGAAGGTAAGTGAGGTTGGGGTATTTATTCCCCCAGCAGGTAGGTCACCTGGGCTGGCTAAGTCTTGTGACTAAAAGTTACAGCTCCTGTCGGGGGGGTTCTTCCATGTCCTCACCTCTTCAGAGTTGACTTGACCATGGCTCTTTTTTTTTTTTAATTTTTTTTATTAACATATAATGCATTATTAGCCCCAGGGGTACAGGTCCGTGAATCGCCAGGTTTACATACTTCACAGCACTCACCATAGCACATACCCTCCCCAATGTCCATAACCCAATCACCCTCTCCCTCCCCCTCTCCCCCCAGCAACCCTCAGTTTGTTTTGTGAGATTAAGAGTCTCTTATGGTTTATCTCCCTCCCAATCCCATCTTGTTTCATTTATTCCTTTCCTATGCCCCAAGACCCCCACGTTGCCTCTCAACTTCCTTGACCATGGCTCTTGCTGACTTCTTCACTATCCCTTGGAGTTTCGCCACTCTCTACTCACACATTTTAAATATTCTCTCTATTAAACACTCATCAAATACATGATTTCCGTTTGAATATGTTACCTCTTTTCTGCCTAAACCCTAACTCTTATGTAATACAAGACAATGAATGAAATCAATGTGAAATTATATAATGTTCATAAACATGGCAGCCTGTGGTAGTCAGCAAATGTTAAAGAAACTGAGCAACTGAATCATGAGCTCTCTCATCTGATATCTATCAAGTGCCACACACGCTCAGCCAAACACACGTTCAAGGCCCAAGAGAAAATCAATCCAAATATTTACTTTATTCTGACTTTTAAAAGTAGGAATTGAAACCACAACATCTTTAACTATAAACACTCCCTAACAACCCCAAAAGTTTTCTAACCGCCAGTTGGAAAAAAAAAGTTTTGCTGAGTGAAGTGATTATTTTTCACCCCATCCTAATGGGTAAATTATGAATAATGTATATGGGACATGTGTATAAGTGTGTGTTGGAGGGTGTGTGATGGTTTAGAATCCCTCAATGTGTAAGAACGTACAATCCTACTGATGAAAATTAAGTATAGAAGCAAAGTTTGAAATGAATTTGCAACCATTTAATCTATAAAATGGAAATAGAGCCACTAGCTTTCCTTTAATCCAGAGTATAAGCCAGGATCCAAAGAAGGATTATTTACTGTCCAGCAAGAGATACAGGGCTAAGACCATCCCATCCCATAACTGCTTGAGTCTCTGCAAATCCGTAAGCAGCTGGATTGGGATGAATATAGTAATACATTATTATGGGAACATTGTGTGAAAAGTTGGGAACACTGACTTCTCAGCTAATAGTTATGATGTGTAGAGAGCTGTGAGCACTCCAAGATTACTGCCTGAGAACAGAGGAACCAAAGGAGACATAGTCACAGCAACAGACTCCAGTTTTCCCCATTTGGTTGACCATGCCAACAGAAGACAAAGCCAGAAAATGGAGCATAATGTGACAGTAGGGGATACCTGTCAGAAAATATGTTTATTGATTTTTCTTTTAATAAAATTCCTCCAACTCTATTGTGACTTAGAAGTTACTGGGGGAGTGCCAGCTACTAGGCCGTCCAGTGAAGATATGTTTGCAAGGCAAAGAGCTTGTTCGTCCAGATCCTTCCTACCATTCCCATCTCTAACCTCAGAGCTGGCTGTGCCTAAATACATGTTTCTTCTATCACACACAGACACACACACACACACACACACACACAAACACTCATGGGAAAGCTGAAGATAGTCTACAATCTACTAAGTAAGAGAAAGTCCCCAAGCCCCAATGCAACACCAGAAAGAGTAGGGGAGATGGACCCGATGAAGGAAGGTCATATAAGAGCAGAGGGCTACTTCCTTCTCCCTCACCATGTAGAATGCAGTACTCCCCCTTCCTCTTCCTCCTCATCTTCCTTTTACCTTCTTCCCCTTTCAACCTATTTCATCTGTCCTCTTTACAGGCCAGAAGGGAACCAACTAAAGGTCACCGTGAAGTGAGGAGATAACACCAGTTATAATGGAAGGCCATATCCTTGAAGAAGAGATAGGTAGCCTTCCAAAGAAAAACTTGGTAATGGGTGCTACAATATGGTATTTTCTTTCCAGCACCAGCACCAGTCAAAACAGAATATTCATGAAACTTTTTCCAAATCTCACTCACCCTCAACACTCCTACCTCAGATAGCCAATGTTTCCTTGCAACCGTCTATTGTCAAAAATGCTATGCTGGTCGGTCAGCTCATCCCAGTGCTTGATCCAAAAAAGTCATATGAATAATAAATTAGGAATTAACTTAAGAGGAATATATTCTTTCAAATTGTCTTGCTTAACCCAACCAAAACTTCCCTTTACTGAGCCCCACTTACTATTGAGTAAAAACAAAAAACCAGAAAAACAAAAAATCTTTGTAGTGTGATTCACCATCAGTTTTACCTTCTCAAGGGGTCCTTATATTCCTAAAGTAGATCTTTGTACGATGAAAAAAAGCCACAACCCAAATCTGTTGGCGTCAATAACATGTAGAATCTATGGAGTTTTATAGCATGTGGCCCAAGAAATCCACCCTTTCCCTCACCTTCCTTTTCCCAGTGGCCCTGCTCCCCAAGAGGCCTTTTACCAGTCACTCTAAGAGAGAGAAAGAGTAGACACAATCAGCCACAAAATGAGGAGGTCACCTCCTTCCAGGACGAGATGGTGTCCTAAGAGAGCAACACATTTCGTGCTTTCTCTGCTGAGTTCTGCTCAACCACAATAACGCGTCAGCGTTAAGTAGAGCGTCCCAACAACCCACAGATTTGCTGCTGCTGAGCGAGAAGTGTGACAGGCCAGGAGTCCTCAGAAAGGGATTTTAGCAAAATAAGAAGTGTTATTTTCTTAACCATCCACAATGAAATTCACCATAACAGTGTATCCATCTCTCTTAAAACATGCTCATACCTGGATTAAGACCCCTGCCTCTGGCAGTGAGTTCTACAACTAAAATACCTCTTGAGGAAAGGGACCTGGAGACAGAGGGCTTTTCAGAAAGGAGGAGATGTACTGAGCCCTGGATTCGGGGTAAGAGGACTCATCTACCGCAAGAGCTTACGAAGGCCCGGAGAGCCTCTCGAGATGGCCGTGGGGGTGCCGGGGCCCCTTACCTTACCACACTGCTTACATTTTCCCTCCTGCCGACGCCGGTGTACCCAGTGATGACGCACAAAGTTCTGTGGGAAAACAACATTAAATGAGTAGGTTTCAATTTGCCAACCCTATTGCTATTCTTTTTTTCAAATGTTTTAAGCATATTGATTTCCATAAACCATAATCTCAGCCCCTATTAGCACAAAACCAAATATGTGCATGTGTGATTTAACAATAAACATGAATCCACTTGGAAAACTGAAGCTACCCCCATGCCCAATGATCTTCTGTATTTGTAGAAGCCGCTCATCATGTCCTCCCTCCACGTCTTCCTTGTGGTCACCTGGTAACACCATTATTACTCTGCTTCCTTCCTAGTGGAACACTGTGCAGACATGGGAGGTCACTGAAATCCCCTCAGGGAGGTAAAAAGGCGAGGGAGAGAAGATGAAGCAGCAATATCCATTTTTAAAAACAAATATGTATTTAATGCCTTATATAGGCCAGGCACCGAACAACCACATTAGAAGGAACTTAAAGAAATTAAGGTCTCAGGAAGAAACAAGTCTCCTCATTCAGGACATACAGGATGAGAATTTGTCACTAGTCAAAGTGAAGGGAAGGAAAAGTTGAAGGACAAAGATGACAGAGGCAAGAAATGTGGGCCCATCATGATGGCTATGCGATGACGTTGTGTCTAAACTGTCCTCGGGCTCTAGATACTTCATTCATTCTCTAAGTCTATTCTCATCTTGGATTATAGGAAACACAGAACTTCCTTTACCTCCCAAATAGTCAATCGCTCCTCAGAAAGGGAGTTAAGGAGCCCCATCACCACTGCTCTTAGGATATATCATAGGAGAGAAAGTTGTTTTTAGGCCCAATGGCACAAATAAACTTATATATACAACTCATCCTTCTTAGACCAATATACATAAATTAATTCCTTTTTTTTCCCCTTTGTTCTTTTCTGAGAAAGCACATTTTACCTGACACTAACATGTCTATCATCGGGCCACAGACCATATTTTCCCTTTAAAAGGCCCTTTAATATGTAGCCAGTCATTCAGCAAATACTAGATGCCTACTACTTGCCAGGCCCTGTTGTAGGTGTACAGCAAATAGATCAGTGTTGAAGAAAAAATGTTCTATGGACAAATGAAATTCAGAGTGACAAAAATACCTTGAACAAACATGAGCATTATCTAAAATGCCACCTCCATTTCTCTTTATAATGCCAAATCAATTCAAGTTAAAACTAAACAAAGACCCTAGAGGAATAATGGTCTTTTAGCTATAATAAGATATAAAGAAGCATAATGGTCCCACTAATTAGTCTAAGTTTTGTCTTGCTTTTCCTACTGAGGCAGTTTAATAAAACAAGGACACAATTCTTATATTGTTCTCAGAAAGAAGCTAATTAATAATATTTTTGAGTACTCACTATGTGTCAGGCACTTTAAAAAATGCCTTAAATGTAACAATTATTTTAATTTTCATGAGAATTTTTATGAGTAGAGCTGCTATTCAGTTGGTATGTACCCGAAAAATCCCATGTGTCATTAAAATACTGAAATATTTCTATACTGGTTGATAGATTAGTTGAGTTCCCCTGCCCCCCTCCTGGCTCCTTCCTAACTGCCATAGCACTCCACCTCACCCCACCCCTTTAACACTGGAAATCATTTCTACCCCCTCATTATAAAGCCACTAGAATGTTCATTTTTGGCAGGTCTCTGGGATTCTGTTTCAATGAGTTCTTATTCTTTTTTTAAAAAAAGATTTTATTTATTTATTTGACAGAGAGAGAGAGAAAGCAAGAGAGGGAACACAAGCCGGGGGAGTGGGAGAAGGGGAAGCAGGCTCCCTGCTGAGCAGAGAGCTCGATTCAGGGCTCAATCCCTGGACCCTGAGATCATGGCTTGAGCCGAAGGCAGAGGCTTAACCGACTGAAGTACCCAGGTGCCCCAATGAGCTCTCCTTTGAAAACAAATCACGTTGCCTGAGCAATGCCCCTGGGACTGCCCCCACCCCCCACCCCCAGCACACTCAGAAGACTGGGCTATGCCCAACTGATGGTGGTTGTCCGTGTAAGTTTAAGTATCAGACAAACAATGCTGGGTCCCCTGGCCCGCTGTGGCTCTCAGAATAGTGGCAGCAAGTCAGGAACCTGCCACCTAATGGGGATGAAGTTGCTGGACCCTGCACCTCTCTACCTCACAGGTGAGGCTGATCACATTAGCCTTCCATCCACTCAGGTGACAAGAACTCTGCCCACTGCTGGCTTAAGAGCGGGGCTGGGGCGGACTGGGCCAGCTGTCAATTGTACCATGTCTCAATTCACAGCATTGTAGGGCCATGATCGGGGATTTTGCTTGAATTATCACTATCATCCTCCTTTTAGAGATCAGAAAACTAAGGTATTGACATAGTGACTTCAGAAGTAAGGGTCAGAGCAAGGATTCAATCCCAACAGAGCTTACGGTCTGAACCCCTTTGTCGCTTCGCCTTTCCTCTGCTCTGGAACCTTGGGATCAAGCTCCTTCAGGAATTGATTTCAACGACAGTCAGTAGTAGAAATACTGAATATACAAAAATGTCAGGCAATACTATAAGAGAGAAAAATTTACTGTAATTGCTGTTAGTTTAGCAGAAACTGTGGGGAAATGAACAATGCACTGATGATAAGGGAAGTTCTCTGCATATGGAAACTGTAAATCACCTAATGACTATCAATTCGAGGAGGGAAATGTTGGAAGAATTTGATGCAACTGCCTATGAAATCAGGGCTGACTCATGGGGTTATTTAGCTAGTGACAGCTCTAATCAGAAGATTAAACCAACAATTTCCAGGAATCAACAATTATTTAGAAATTATAAGACTGACTTAATGAATCATTTATGTTGCAACACATGTCATTTGGTAAACAGATTGAGAATACCCTGTAGTTTAATCTGTTTAGGGAATGTAAGGGAATATGTTTAAAATGTTTATTTAAATATTACCGTATGACTCAGGAAGTTGCCAAATATCTTTATTATCATTCTTCCTAGAAATTGGGTCCTAGATCAAAGCACAGAGAAAGTAACTGAAACAAAAGCTCTCCTTGAGAAGACACTGAGTAACTGCCTTCCTTACGGAGCTCCGATTTGAGAGGTGAAGCATCTTCCTATGAAAAGATTTCTTGGGCCTGAGAGAAATTCCTTCTATCAGTGCTTTAAGACTTAGAACAAACATCCAATAAATGTGTGTTGAGTGGAATGGAATTCTGAACCTAATTTTTTTGATGATCAACTCGTGTAGTTATCACTTTGGAGGTTCATCAGTTGCCATATCAATCGGGGGGAAAACCCAATTTCTATAGATTTACTGCTGTTTTCTAATCCTTACTCCCAAACACTCACTTTTCATACTCTTTTGACTATTATTCACATCTCCTAAATTATGGAGCTGAGATTAGAGTCGGAATCCTTATACTGGAAATGTGAGTGTTGACATAGTCTGTTAAAATAGCAAAGCAAGGGCACCTGGGTGGCTCAGTGGGCTAAGCCTCTGCCTTCGGCTCAGGTCATGATCTCAGGGTCCTGGGATTGAGCCCTGCATAGACTCTCTGCTCAGCAGGGAGTCTGCTTCTCCCCCTCTCTCTCTGCCTGCCTCTGCCTACTTGTGATCTCTGTCAAATAAATCAATAAAATCTTTAAAAAAAGAAAAAAGAGCAAAGCAAGGCTATAACATCTTTCTATTGTTCATCTATAACCTCTGAACTATTCATACACTATCTTCAAGTACTGGGCAAGGAAAGGGCTATTACATAGGTGTGTTAAAATCTCAGTGATACATTATTTCAGGGTTTATACTTGGTATTGTTAGCAGAGACACATCGCAGACTTGCTCACTTATTTCCAAATAGCAAGTTCAATTCCTAGTATTACTCATAAAGTACGTGAAAGAATCGTAAAATTATAACCTAATCTACACAGCTTATGTCTAGGAAGACCTAGATGTTCAGAAAGATTCCACCTAGAGGAGTCCTACCAACATTCATTAACAAACTATCAACAAAACTATTCCTTCTAATTTTCCCCTTCACTAGGGCCCTGAGTTATCTTCTGGTCAGTGCCGTTGTGCCCTTGGATGGCACTGAGGGTACCCACAAGCCTATCATTTTCCTCACCCTATGTAAGGCCCATCACCTTCCCATTGCTGACATAATGGCCAAACACAGTGGGAAAAGACAAGGGACAGGGACAACTATTTTTCCTCTCTCCACAATGTCCACTCCCAAACTACCCTCCTTCCAAGTTTTCTCCCAATCTTCTTGTATTTGTAACCGTGAAATCATTCTTTTTTCACAATGTCTTCTTCATTGTCATTAAAATGTGAGGGACCCTCTCTGGACTCCTAGAACTTCTCTCTTCCTCTTACACGTTCGTCTATTCTCATAGCTTTACTGACTATCTACATACGTGCTGACGATTCAAGATATCTTATCTCTAACCCAATCTTCTTCATAAGCTCCAAACTCACGTTCCCACTCAGCTTGCTACTGGGCGCCTCCAACTGAGGTCTCAAGGACACCACACGCTTGAAAATTCTACAACTAAACTCATCACCTTACCACTCCACTCCATTCTCATCAGTCTTCCAGGGAAGAAGCCTGGTTTACTCTGGGCTCCTCCATCTTTGTGTCCAGCATCCAATCAATTATTAAATCCTGTCAATTTTATTTCCTTCAAATTCATATGTACCAATTATCTCCACCCTCAGTATTACTCCTAGTTCAGATCTCCACTAGAAGAGCTCCTTAAATTCCCTCCATGCCTCCAATATGGTTGCTCTTGAACTATATGGTATTCCTTCCACACAGAAGCCAGAATAATATAGTCTACTTAAAATAGTTTAATGCTCCAGGGCACCTGGGTGGCTCAGTTGGTTGGACATTCAACTCTTGATTTCACCTCAGGTCATGATCTCAGGGTCGTGAGATCGAGCCCGCATCAGCAGGGAGTCTGCTTGGAATTTTCTCTCGTCCTCTCCCTTTGCCCCTCCCCGCCCCCACTCTCTCTTTTTTTCTCTCTCTCTCCCTCAAAAAGATAAATAAATTAAAAAAAATAGTTAATGCCCCTCCCCCAATTACCATGATGATGAAACACTCAACTTGTAACATGGCTTACAAGGACCTTCATGGCCTAGCCCCTGCTTATCTCTTGGATTTCAAGTACTTCTTATGTTCTCTCTCGTGTTTGTGCTTGGGAGCATGTGCTCTTTCTGTCTAGAAGGCTGTCACCTCCTAACTACCCTCCTTCACTTACATTACTCCTCTGGGTCTCGGCTTACTTGCCATCTCTTCCAGGAAGCGCCTTCTCTGGTATCCCACCCCTCACCTGTTCATCAGTGCACAGAGCTAGTTTGAGGAATGCACCAGCTGAAGGTTTCCAAGGAGCTAAATCTATATGTGGAACTGAAAATAATCTCACTGGGCATGAAATGAAATGGAGAACGTGTATTTCACAAAAATGATACTTACCACACTTTGTCTTACGGAGAGCGCCACACACCCTGGCCAACACCTGGGCAGCTGAACTGTGTTCTAAGAAGGACAGGCTCTGTCCATTGCAGGCTTTTGTTTTGCCAGTTGAAGAGTGCAATTTGGGACCTGGAGCTAGACTCTCCAGGATAACACAGGAGGGCTGAGACCCTCTACTAACTACCTCACCTTCTCTAACTTTTCCACATGTGCTCCATGTCCTCAAAAAAAAAAAAAAAAAGAGCCCAACGAGCGAATCTGACTAAGTGCAGGTCTCCTCCTGTCCTCCCCACTGCTTCCCACTAACAGAGCAACTGCTCCTCGCTGTGACTTCCTGTTTCCCTGTTTGCCTTCACGACTGGGCCGTGAGGCCAAGGACTGAGCACTGAATGTAGTTCTTCCACCTATCTTCCTCCCTACGACTTAATAGATAAAAACAGTGCAATTCAGAAAGATGGGGTAAGGTGCCTCAAATCAGACGGCATCTAGATGGGTATGGAAGCCAATCTGGTTTCAGAGTTCATGGGAATGCTCAGCATCTATGCTGTCCCCTGAATAGCTTCTACCCACTCAAAATTGGAAAACAGAATTAAAACGGGCCATAAGATGATAAAATTGGTATTTACTTCTTACCTCTTCAATTCTACCACCGCCTCTGTACCTGTTCATTAAGATCTTAGCTCCCAGTGCATTTCATGAGAACACTAAAGGACAGTACACACATGCTAAAGAGAATGTGAGATTTTACTCATGGTATTTATTGACATATTAACAAGAAACCAATGAGGAATGGAGGGAGCTAGACTTTAAGTTTTTAAATCCCTGGTGAATGCCTGTTAGACCAGTGCATCAATGGGAAATAAAGGTGGTATCTGAAGTCAAGTTCTGAAACACTCACTTCTCTCGGTGATCTTGAGCCCCCTTCTCGAAATGTTGGTTTACATCTGAAATTAATCTGTCATTTAAAAAGAAAAGTGTATTACATTAGGGATAAGCACCAGACTATACTGACTTACCTGAACAAAGCAACAGTGACACATATGGAGACTACAAAACAAAACCCCCAAAGAACAAGGAACACAGTATAACTCTTAAAATCATCACTCTAGATAATCTATAGAGACCCCAGGTGATCCTGTATCTCCAATGCATGTCTCTACATTCTCATTGATGAAATCAACCTATCTCTAAATAATAACCCTCTTACACTGTAAATTTGAGAAAAGGAGATAGAGAGGAAGAGAAACTATGTAAGGCAGCTGAAATCACGGAGCTTTGTTTCAGATTTTAAAAGCAGGACAACATCACTTGAGGAATATTTAATGTGATGATGATAATTCACACACAGAAATTTTCTTTAAGTCTTCAGTACTGCCTTTCTTTTACACACAGGCAGGTCTCCTGGTAACACGACCACCTTCTTTAGTTACTTGATAAGGTGAAAGGAATATAGAAATGAAGGAGGACATAGTAAATGGGGTTGGAACAGCAAAAAGAAAAAATATATATATATGTATATATATACACACACATATACATATAAACGTTAGTAGTCATCCCTACAAAACAGCAGTTGGCAACAATTGGTAACATGGTCATTAAAACAATGAATGTTGCAGGGAATGAAAATATTTCAACACACAGCAGCTCAAAAACATAGATAACAGAGATTCACGTGTAGAAAGAGAGGAGAGGAAGAAAGAGAAGATGGCAGACAACACATTCTGGAGCCTGGAGCCTCTCCTTTCCCACAAATGACTGATCAACAGACTCCGCAGAATCTACTTCTTCGGGAGGCAAGACAGCACGGGGATGTTACCCCCAGCCCACCCACACATTTGTGCTGTACCAGTTTCCCAAGGAAGGAAGGAGAGCTGCCTTCTGGTCTGACTCTCTTCTTTGCCTCCACTTTAGGAAGAGGAAACTCACAAACGTCAGGCGGATCTAAACAATGATTTCAAAGAGCTTATTTTTCTTAAGGAAAGAAAAAAATCTTGTGGGAAATTCTATGGGTGAATAACAATGTTTGTCATTGTAAAAATAATAATAATAATTCTTGTGTACCAGGCTTTTCTCTCTAGCCTGGTAACAAGGCTGGTCTTCCAGTGTTTGAAAAGGGCACGGTTTTGAAAAAGTTGGAAATAAGAAGTGACAGCTGGTCTTAGAAGGCCAAACACCTGCAATGTAGCCACCACCGCAGCAGGTGGCGCTGTCTCACCTTTTCTAGCTGTTCAATGCAGGCGGTGTGGACGACGATCTTACAGACCGCACACTTCCTCCTCAGGGCCGATTTCTACAACATTCAATTCAAAATACAAGAGGAAATGTTAACAGTCTGCTCTGGAAAGTTCCCTGGCATTAAAGAGAGTATACATAATGAAAGCAAACATAAGCAAATGTAGAACATGAAAATAAGGCGAACTTGAGTCTTTTGACACACCCCCTGCCTCTGTATCTCCATGACCTAGGGTGGCTAGATTTTTCTCCAAAATATAATACTGCTATATATTGCTATATATTGAGCATATATAGCATATATAATAGCTGCTATATATTGAGCATATAATATGAACCAGGCTCCTTATTCTATCGTTCTAAAGTTTTATAACCTAACAACGTAGGCACTAGTAGCCTCCATTTTTATGGGTTTCTTGGCTTGTTTTCGTCTTTTTACATTTTTACGCAGTAGTTAAGCAGCAGAACCAACATGCAGAATTAGGTCTAAGCTCAGGAGCCAACATCCCAAGGGACCAATCGCTTTAGGCTTCTATCCCAGGCACGAATCTCTACAAAGCTACTTGGGTCTTCCCCCGAGTCATCAGCTAAGTAGTAAGACGTGCCTAACCCTTCCACCTGGTAATAACAATAAACAGTAAAAAATAGCAGCAGGAGCCACTAACATGAATGCAGGACTCGCTGGGAGTCAGGCACTCGGAAGCACTTCACAAACAGGAACTCATTTAACCTTCGACAACGCCAAGACATCAGTAGTACTTTTATTCCCATTTCACAGATAAGAAAGCTGTGGCCCAGAATGCAATGGGTGTGAGGTCTCATAATGAGGACCCAGCAGAGCAGGGGAGCCCAGGTCAGAGCTCATGCTTCTCTGCATGACCCAATTTGGCCTTTTGGACGGTCGGTACCAGTTTCGATGCACAATAAAATACTTTGAGGTGCATACTTCCTCAAACAATTAAAAAAAAAAAAAACAAGCAGTAGGGTGGGAAAGGAACAGGTGCAATTTCGATTGTGCCGGGGCCACGTAAAATCCACGCAAAAACACCAGGGCCTCCCCACAAAGCCCAGGCTAGAAGGCAGGTCCACATGAGTAACTGGGGTTTGAGCACGGAAAGCGGCTTAATATAACAAAGCTAATCTGTGAAACGGGGACTCAAAGCATCCAAGTGTGAAAAGCCTCGAGTCCTTATTCTTAGGAAAGGTGCTGGGAGAGATTGCTGGCAAACTGCCCTCTTCTGATGTGTGGCTTCCCCTGCGGAGATATAATTTTTGAGCCAAGAATTGAGGCATTGCTGCTACCAAGTAAGTTTAGAAGGACTGCAAGCCACCCCCTTAGAAGCAGCGGTATCAGGAACGCGGCAGCCACAGCCTGCTCCCTCCCAGACGGTTCCATGCGTTCAACATGAGTTATGCACATTCTTCTCTGCCTCCCACGAGGCACCCAGAACCCTCCAGCAACTCCACTTGCAGTCTAGACACCCGCTGACTGGGGTTTAGTTACCGCCTTGCAGACAGCTCTCCTCTGCCCGAGGAAACAACATGGTCTGGAACATTGCAAAAGTTTGACAATCAATTGATTTTGCAAAGAACAAAGAAAAACAGAAACCCAAGCATCTAGCCACACTACTGGAAAGTGTCTCAGCTCTACTACTGAAAAGACAGGAGTGGGGAGAGGAAGAAGGGGTGGGGGGGGAGGAACAAGGAGGAGCAGTAGTAGAAGCAGCGGCAGCTCTCAGGGCAAGGGTAACAGGATTCTAGTTTGCAAATTTTCGCGAGCACAATGCCCATAAGCAAATTCAGGTTACTCTCCCATTTCCTTCGGACGTTCTGGTAGAGATTGTGGAGGTAGCACCACCTGCAGAAAATGCATGGGGCATTTGAGTCACGTGACCAATCAGAGTTGCAGTGATGCTAAGGAAGCTGCAGTGGGTTCCAGTCTACTCCTAATCCACAAAAGCCCTGGTAGATTCCACAGCAGACAAAGCAATTGCGCTCACAGTAGGCAACTACTGACGGGCTAGGATTTCTAAGCGCACCAGACACGCCTCCTTCCTTATCAGTAATTCCCTGCTCCAGTCTGGCTTTGCACCTGCAGAGCTCCAGGGACCCTGTGAGGACCCTGTGAGGCATCTCAGACCAAACGGACAGTTGTAGGAAGAGTACCATGTAGGCGCGGGGACCTGGAATGCCTCTTCCTTGCCATGTTTTGACTCCCAGGATTCTAAGTCAGAATCTCTTTTGAACAAGGGAACTGGGCTCCTGGTAAGAGTTGGAGAACCACAGGGTTAAGACATGTTATCGCTCAGCTTTGCTGGACAGCATGTAAAATAGACCAACATCATTCATGGGGAATAATTCAAGTTCAATGTTCTCCAGATGATAATGTATGAAGAAGAATGTTTTAGGTTATAAAACCAAATTTATTTAAATAATATTAAATTATAAAAGACCCCTATAACATACATGTTTTCGTGCCTTTAGAGCTGGTATATATAGACTATAATCTGAATTTTTCTTCGTAAACACTAGAACATGATGAATTTTACCATGAAGAACAGTTATTTTGGGGGTGCCTGGGTGGCTCAGTGGGTTAAAGCCTCTGCTTTCAGCTCGGGTCATGATCCCAGGATCCTGGGATCAAGCCCCGCATCGGGCTCTCTGCTCCTCGGAGGGTCTGCTTCCTCCTCTCTCTCTGCCTGCCTCCCTGCCTACTTGTGATCTCTCTCTCTGTCAAATGAATAAATAAAATCTTTAAAAAAAAAAGAAAAAAAAACAAACAAAAAACAAAAAACAGTTATTTTGGTTTTCTGTCTTTCTAACTGACTACATATCCTTTCAGTGTTGTTGTGCCTGTCTTTTGTTATCTTCAATTTCTTCAGTGACCGCTTCTAAACAGTTTATAAGCTAAGAAATCCAGTAATTCAGGTTTATGATCATATGCAAAATTAAGCAAATCCTGAATGAAGGTGTTTTTCCATAGTAATCAAATACATGATTTCACTTCCTCAACTGATAAAAACTGTTCCAGTGAATCTCAAGTTTTAACTGCTGACTTCTCGGCTTATGACTATGTTTCAATTGGTCAAAGTTATTCGAAATCATTGAAGGATAAGCTTCTGAGAAGAAATTGCCAAAACAAAGGATTTTTGTGCTTGGTAATGTTACAATTTTTATTTGCACGATTTAAACTAAATACAAAGCTAAAATATCAGAATCAGACTGTATTTACTTTTTCTTAAAAAAAAAAAAGACTGAACTCTTATTTAAACCGATGCTTCCTTCACTCTGAAAAGTGTTGAATCAAAAAAATCATTAAATCCACATATGTTTACAAATTAAAATATGAAAATTTTAAAACCTCATTCCCTTCAATCAATTTAAAGGCCAATTAGACTTAACTGCTTTAAATGTCAAGTAAAGTAACTTCCATGCTCTTACTAGGGGTTTTCTGATTTTGTCAGTATTCAAAGGAAATCCATTAGCTTGTAAATTGTGTGTGTATGTGTAACATCTATGAAAACGAAGACAACATAGGTTATAATACAGATTATATCCTATCACACCAGGATCAACATTTATTTGTATAAAAACAACACAATGATGTGCTGTACTTCTAGTCAGTGGGGATAATCCCACTGTTAGCAGACTAAAAGTGATCATAAAAGAAAGCATTCTAAGCTCTGACTCTGCCCTCTGCAGCAGGCACTCTGGCATTCAAAGCAGTAACAGCTCCTCCCCAACTTCGGCTCCTATCAAGCACAGAAGCAAAATTATCACAGCCTTAGACTACTGGAGCTGGGGCTGGGACAGAAGGATCCAAGGCAAGCAGGGGGCAGAAAGTGTGTCATTGTTCCTGACAATGAAGTTAACATCTAATGCCCTCCTTCCCACCCACCAGCCCCGGTCATAAGTTCTGGACCCATATGTACCCAGGAAAGCTATATTTTCTTCCTCTGAGCCAGAGATGTGATTTTCCCAAAGCAGCAATGAATATCTGGTGGTGGTTAACAGGGTTTGATGAAAGAAGAAAGGGGACGGAGGGAGGAGGGAAGGGAAGCAAGACCCAGCTACACAGGCCTATGATCTGTAAAAAGGCTGGGGCTTCTTAGTGTCCAAGGCAATTGAATTGTTACCCATAGTGGTCTGAACTTCGACCCCCAAGAAGCGCGTATAACAAGGCCAGCTGTATCCCTTCCCAATAAGACATATATCAAACCTTACTACTCCCTGAAGATGTAGCAAATTACCTTCCCTGCTGACCTTCTCTCTCTCCTGCTGTATAATTAAGGATACACCCCTCACCCTTGCCCCCACAGACATCCACAGGTTTAACCACCAGAGATCAGAAGTCGAGAAGTAGGAGGAAATACTCAAGAATCTTTCCAGGCCGCATGGCAACACTTTCTCAGTCTCCCTGCTTCAGAAGAACATAAGATCAGAGCCTGCTGCTGGCCAAACACAGTTTGGGCTCGCAGCACCTCTCCCCAGAGCTCCCAGGCTTGGCCTCACAGACTTACTGCAAGGAATCACTGCTTGCATTAGCTCTGTCTGTGCAATGAGGCCACAGTGATAAAAGGATGAATGGCCAGGGAAGGGTTCCTCTGGATGGGAACCCAGTCATACTGGGAGCTGGGAAGGAGGGAGAGAAGGTACTTTGGGGAAGGGAGCTGATGGGGCACAGAGACAGAAAAAGATCAGGGTGGGGATGGGGCTGGGCGAATGGGCATCAAGTTCTGGCCTAGCTGTCTTCTTCCTAGTGACTGATCCCAGATCCGAAGAGTCATGCCGAGGAAGAGAAACTAAGGAAGGGTTAGGAATCAGGCAAAGGGGAAAGAGCAAGTAAGGCAAGAAGAATTCTCGCACCCGTTCAGACACAGAACTCAGTCTACGGGGCACTCTGGTTGTGGCGGAGGACCGGGAGAGGCAAGAGGGTACAGGTAAGGCCATCCTATTTTCTTCTCCAAGGGTGGGAGAACAGAATGTTCAGTGAAGAGGAGAGGAGGAAAGCTCCTAAGCCTTCGGAGTGTCAGGAATTCAGTGTCCTTTCAGTGGGGA